ATCAGAGCTTTCAGTTTGATGATCTAAAGTGAAGTTAACAGTCCTCCAAGAGAAGACAACAAACAATCATTACATGTCTGCGTTGTGCCACCAAGAACTGTGCTACAATAAACCAAACTTGGAAGGCTGGGGAGCGATTTAGCTTGGGATTGTCAAAGGACCTAAGTGGTTTAGGAGCAGTTTCCTTTGACAGTCAATGGGAGTTGTGCTCCGAACTCATGTGGCATTGCTTATATAGATAATCTATACTCTGGATTTTTATTTATTCTGAATATTTATTTACACCCCTGTGCCACTGGAATGCAGAGAATGTCTACAAGAAATGCTGTAGCCTCTGTAGAATCTTTAACCCACCCCTCTAGTGTCTATCACCAGAGCACATCCTCCTCGGAGGCGTTCCTCACTGGACATAACCGAGACACTGAACCCAGTCACTGCAGCAGTGCACTGGGCATCAGCCTTTGGGCCGGTGTGTCAGGATTTTGTCTTACTATTTTTATGAACATGATCTTTGCCGAGTATCTGGTTTTATCTTCTTTAGGTAAAACTTCTGCATTAAGCTTTGGAATTGGGAAAACAGCCTCTTCATTAGGACACTAGTATTGAATACTGTATCTATGATATGTTTTGAAACTTTTGCTGGATATTAATTGGATTTCCATTCACTTGTATCAAGTTAGAGCAGCTTTTTAAGTATTTGGGATGCAGAGGATAAATATTATCAGATTAAGTAATTTCTATGGCTGAGCTATCCAGTCCATCTGTGTCACTTGGAGACCAGACGGACACTGACTATAACGATATTTTATTTCTCCAGTGCTAGGAGTGCAGTTATTTCTGTACCAGACTCAGCGGATCCAGTTTGTTGAAGTTAGTGACACCGCCAAGATCCACTGTTCTTCCAAAGAAAACTTGGAAGGAGGAAGTAACATGTTTTGGTATTTGAGAAGAGAAGGTGAGAAACCCACCTGCATTAAGCGCTGTTTGGATGATCAAAATGTAAGTAAATTTGCTTGCAAACACAAAACACACAGCTCAACCCTGGAAATCAGCAACGTCCAAAAGAATGACTCTGGCATTTACTACTGTGCATATAAATATAGCAGCTACCTGCTTTTCGGGAATGGATCCACGCTGCTTGTTGGAGGTAAGGAACCATAGCTTGTTTAAGAAGACTAATAATGGATTGACAAAGCATATTTCATATCCCCAATAAAATACAGCAAGATACCACAGCTAATGATGAATGGTTCAAAGGAAAGCATACTTTAAGCCAAATAGATCAGCTAAACATTAAATGCTATGGGTATAGAAGGAGTATAATAACATTTATTGTTATAAAATATATGTGTAGAACTTGAAAGTGCCAAAAATAAACCATTGAAGTTTCTCTGTGACTGTTCAGGGCACCCAGCTAGGGAATATTTCTAATCTAAGAGTTGTGATTGCATGATAGAATATTTTGAGTTAATGAAAAGTTTATAAAATTTACGCAATTTTCCTTCTAGTTAGTGCAGCTACGTACTGCGCTATATCCTAGTTAGTGTTGAGGTAATTTAATATTTCCTTCTTCAGTAAATGTGTTTCTTTGAATTAACATCTTAGTTACTAGATATGCAGTGTTGTTGTAGTGGTGTTGGTCCTAGGATATTAGAGAGACAAAGTGGGTGAGGTAGTATCTTTTATTGGGCCAAGTTCTGTTGCTCAGAGAGACAAGCTTTCGGGCTGACACAGAGCTCTTCTTCAGATCTGGAAAATGACACTCTGAATATGTTTCCCAGACCTGAAGAAAAGCTCTTTGGAAGCTTGAAAGTTTGTCTCACTCACCAACAGAAGTTGGTCCAATAAAAGATTTTACCT